ATGCTCGGACAACTGCTTCACGTGGGGAGGTGGCCGGTGGCGCGCCTCAGCCTTCAGCAGCTAACGGAAACTGCCCTTTCCCAGCATGCAATCGAGCAGGAAAAGGCCCGCCTCGGAACACTCGGCTGTTTCCGCATTGGCTCGGCTCCTTCCGGCGAGCTCACCCAGAGGCCGGAGGCGGGAAGGTCAGTCGAAACTACATTTCCCATGAGGCTGTGGGAACCTTAAACCCAGGAATTTGGCCAAGGCTGCTTTTGACGTGGTGCTGCTGTCACCCAGGGCACAGCAGTATATGAGACGGTCGTGTGCAGGACAATTACCTCAGGAGCTTATAAAAATACATATTTCTAGGGTCTGCCTTAGAGAATCTGTGGGCGTGATTCTGAAGCCTGTGTTCCTTGGCCTCTTTTTGAGAAACAATGCCAGGTGACCCTGTGAATAAAGCACAAATGAGTAAAGAAATTAACGCTGCCCAGGTTCTGTCTCTACTCTTATTCTGTGAATTTAGACAAGTCACTGGCTTCGTCGTCTACCACGTCTTAAACACAGTCTCTTTTCTAGACTGGAAGGAATTTAATTCCCAACGTCTTGTGTAGATATTAAAAGAATGGAAATTTTCTGGGCATGCTCATGTATGCCTTTTATCACAGCACTCAGCTGCAGAGGTAAGTGGATCTCTGTGAGTTCAAGGCCAGCCTGGTCTACATAGTAAGTTCCAGGACAGTCTGGGCTATGTAGAAAGACATAGAAACATGTCTCTAAATAAGTAATAAGAATGGAAAGTTAGAGCTGGTCATTGGTGGTGTACACCTTTAATCCCAGCACTCGGGAAGCAGAGGCAGGAGGATCTCTGTGAGTTCGAGGCCAGCCTGGTCTCCAGAGCGAGTGCCAGGATAGGCTCCAAAGCTACACGGAGAAACCCTGTCTCGAAAAAGAAAAAAAAAATGTTTTTGTGTGTGTGTGTGTGTGTGTGTGCGTGTGTGTGTGTGTGTGTGTGTGTGTGTGTGTGTGTGTGTGTGTGTGTCACAGCACATGTGTGGAGATCAAAGGAGAACTGGTTTACTCCTTCTATCATGTTGATCCTGGGATTGAAGTCAGGTTGTCAGACTTGGCAATAAGTTCCTCTCCCCAGTGAGCTATCTCACCAGCCCAAAGGGTGGTGACATTTTTGATGAGACCTAAATGAAGGACAGGTGTCAGTCCTGAGACCACAGGTTTCTAATGAGCCAACCTCTTCTACAGCCTTACCTCATCTTCTCAGCCATATTCGCCCTTCAATGCCCCCAGAATACTGGCATGTGGAGGCTCAAAATGTTTATGTGGACAGCTTTCATCAATTCCTTTCGCCTCCCTGGCCAAACCCTCCAGTGCAAACCTCAGCCTCATCTTAAGTATAGCCTCTTCTGCAGCCCCTTTCTTGACCTCTCACTGGTTTTTGGAATTCTCCAAAACACTTTTAGTAACTATTGTTTTAATTATTTATTTAGAAAGTCCTTTTAGCACCTGGGTCCTCTACTAGATTGTACTACTCTCTCTACTAGTTCTCAAGAGTCTAAGAGTGTCGCTCAGTGCCTGACACTTAGCAGAGACATTGCCAGTATTGTTTACTGAATGGCAGGCTGCCTGACAGGCCAGGCATCTCAAGTATTTAGATATAGAGTAGGAAATAAATCAGTCTAAGTGGGGCTCCTGAACCCAAGGTGATTAGACTAGATTGGTCTGGCAACAAAGTAGCATTTCACTGCATTTTGAGCTATGAAGTGATAACCATACTTTCAGAAGTTTCCTCTGGAAGATACATACAAAATAGTTTGGAACAGGATAGTTTTGTGTAGTATCTGTTTCCTGTGAATTGAAACATTTCCTCAAGAGGGAGAAAGGAGTCCCCTAAGACTCAAGTGACAGTTACCAGGCTCAATAACTTCTGAATGTTGTTAAGATTCACAAAGCAGAGAGATGGCTCAGCGGTTAAGAGCACTGTTCTTCCAGAGATCCTGAGTTCAATTCCCAGCAACCACATGGTGGCTCACAACCACCTTGAATGAGATTTGGTACCCTCTGCTGGTGTGCAGGCTAAAGACTGTATACTAAATAAATAAAATCTTAAAAAAAAAAAAAGATTCTCAAAGCCCTCCCTAGTGTTATAAAGCAGCAAGTGATTTGGGGAGAGGAAAAACTTTTAGTGGAACTGCTTGCAAGTTGGCCAGGGAGCCCCAGAAAAGCAGTTCTTGTGAATCCTCCTTCATGCTGGGGTGGGCTTTTTAGGCATGCAGTTGACTTTGAGTCACCCGTAGGCCTTTAAGTGACACCTATAAACTTAACTGCTTCACCAAGCTAGGCTTGGGTGGAGTTGCTTCTTTGCCATCTCCCCAGGAAAAGCCACATACACACAAATGGAATAAAAAAAGAGAGACCTGGTATGATGGAAACATGCTCTCTCTCAATACAGCAGTGTTGAGAGAGAGGGCCTTTGGGAAGTGACTGGGTGTCGAGGGCTCTGACCTCATATACTATGGGATTAACAGGTTAGTGGATTATGAAAGCAGTGGCTTTGTTATAAAAACTTGTTTTATAGAGCTGGGGTCAGAGCTCAGTAGCAGAGTGCCTGCTTAGTTAGTGCAAGATCCTGGGTTAGATCTCTAGCACCACAAAGATAAAATAGGGCCAGCCAGATGGTTCAGCAGGAAAATACGTCTGCTGTTCAAGCCGGGATGACCCAAGTCCAATTCCCAGATCCCACATAAAAGGGAGGGGGGAACTAACTCACACACCTGTCTGGAATACTTGCTTGGAGTTACCACGTGATTCTGTCTGTTATGTTATATGTTGTGGCACTCTTCAGGTATTGGAGCCTTGTTCTTGGTGTAAGGATTCAGGCACGTTGCTGGCCTGTCACCTGGCAGAATACACTCAGGGAGTACCGT